ACTTGAAAATTAATTGTATTTTATTAATTTCAAAATAATAAATATATATAATTAGTAATTTATTATTGATATATTTATTAATAATAACTAAAAATATAATCTGTTTATTTAATTTAATAATAAAATTTGAGCCAATCAAAATTAATCACCTCATTGATAATTAAGAAATGATCTACATAAAAATTGACCAATCATACAAATGTCTGCCATGCTACAAAAATGTAATTGGTTCAAACTTAAATTGCTACGCCACAGCGCCATATCATAATGACGTCACGTGTTTGTGCTATCATGTTGCAGATTATTTTATAACGCGTAATTTTAATCAGAAGACACAATACATACACAAATTTTTCAAAGGTGGAGCTTACCTTACATTCCTTGAAACTCGCTGATTCTCAGAAGAAATAAAGGGTGAACGAGCGAAAGAGCTGCTTTGATGAGTATATATATATTTGATTACAACATAAATAAGGAAATTTTGGTGGCACTTTGGGTCCTGTAGCTTATTGAGGCGCAAAAAATCTGTGGTAATGGCAGCTTAGCATTCACAAAAAAAAAGTAGAGACCGCTGGAACCTCAATATACTTACAACATTTAACATTTAAGGTAAGGTAGGTCTCTAGGAATTGGAACAAGTCAATGTTAAAACATTAAATCAATAAATCATTTGAATCTTTTTTTAGAAGCAATTAACGTTATTAGCATCCATCATCCCGCTAAGGAATATGGAGCTCTGGTTTGTGCAACCTTTTGCAAAATCAGTTAAAGAAATGAAGGTAAATTAAATAATGATAATCTGTTTGATATTTTGAAAGTATATTAAGGAATTCTTATTTTATAACAGGATGATGACAAAAAAATTATTCATGTATCCAGGACAGTTCTTACACGCTATCAATCTTGTCACTATATTGGTAAATTCCATATTACAATCGTGATGCGTAACGAATCGTAGATATGTTCATTATTGAAACATACTTTTTATTGTTACTCATTTAGTATTAAATGGTGAAATTTCGGATCGCGAAGACAAAAGGGATCTAGTCGTGTTGGAAAAGCAAGTATTTTTGTATTGGGTTATGTGCCATTCTGTTCCGGAATATTAAATAAAATAAATTATTTCTAATATGGATTTTTTATATATAGAGTTCTTTCCGAAATGGAGAAAACTGTAGACTCAGGTGTGTTGAGTAATTGTTTTCTTCTCTTAATGAAAATAATTTCTGTTAAGCAAGAAGGAAGCGCCTGCGACAGAGGGAGACTGTCGGAAGCCAGTAATGGCAAGTCATCGTGCAGGGGTGGCCGGCTGACTTTATTGCACAGAAGTTATTGGGGTTGTTAAGCTGATAAGGCGCCTGCGACAGAGGGAGACTGTCGGAAGCCAGTAATGGCAAGTCATCGTGCAGGGGTGGCCGGCCTTATTTGAAGAACAACTTCCTTTAATTTTTATATATTTACTTTTTATTCAAAAAGAAATTAATCTTTTTTTTTTATTCATGAGCAAACGGTGAAAAAAGAAATCTTTGCGTAGTACTATACTCTATAAGAACGCAATATTAATTGGATGTTAACTTGCCCACGCTTTTATTTCAACACTTATTTCAAACACTTCATGGTCGAGCAATTGAAATAATCTTAAAATACTCAATCTGACTTTTAAACAAAACAGATAATCCTGAATAAGCTCAGAAGAATAAAAAGAACGACGGATTTTGTAATTGAATAAGATTCTATGTCATACTTAACTCTGTTCCTTTTTGATAGAAAGTTAGGTTTCTATTTGGTTGGGAGATATGGATGCAACCGACGGCAACGTTACGCCCGGTTGCTGATTTTTAGATATCTTGATTTAAAGTTGACAAAAAATCGTAAATAGATGTTAATTCGCCGTTCTGTTCTAACAAATCTTCGCATCCAGGCAATATAGAAACAATTAATATTTGTAATTGCTTATTCACTTTGTATCATTTTAAGTAATATTTCTTTCTCTTTTACAATGTTGAAGTTAATATTATGAATTAAATATATGTTTTAAAAAAAAGGTTATATTATTACAGATGTATCTAAATAATAATTTTTTTCAAATGTGATTTTTCTTTAAATAATTTTTTAAAATAATAAACTTGTTAAATGGTAACTTTTTTTTAATAATAAATTATATATTTACAATAATACTTCTAGCAATAATTAAAATATCAATGAAGAAATAAATAACAATTATCTTATTTTTAAAACTTATTGTATTTGCATCAAATAGATTTTAAAGTTTATTTAAATTTTCAAATATTGTCAACCTATTACATAAAATCAAAATCCCAAAATTGAAATATTTAGGACTTTTTTTTTTAATAATAGTCTTATTACAAAAATTTATTAAACTATAATCACAAAAATATGAGATTTATTAAGTAAAAAAAATAAAACTTAAGCTATTTCATGTAATTATTTTTCAAATCTGTTTGAGTTAATTTTAAATTAGCATTCCTTTATTAAATTCATTTTGCATTATATAAAATAAAGATAACTTCAACAGAGATGAAAAAATAGATATATAGTTGCTTGACAAAACCTCGGAGTATTGACAACTGTCGAATGTCGAAACCTATTTAGACGTTTTGACTTTTTATTTTTAAAAGTCGAAACTGTCGAA